GATGCTAAGATGATGANAGATAGAGAGAGAGAGAGAGAGGGGAAAGCAGTAGTTCAATATAGAGAGAAATTACCTTTGCCTAAGGTGAGGTAACTGGCTAGAGCCACGGAAGATGTCATCAAAGAGAGATGAGAAACTTATGTGAGTAGAGAGAGAAGATGTCGAGAAGATCTGAACTTCAGATTACGGATGAGCTTGGGCTGTCATTCTTCTTCAAAACAGTGTTGTATTGGGCTGGTTATGAAACCATGTCCTATTAGTTTTCGATTGAATTTTGTTTGGGGGTTTTCTCTGCTGCTATTTCTATCTCAGTCCTGTAAAAATTTATCACAAACTGTTGTTTGCAAATGTTACAAATATGTTTAATATAAAGAATGCAAAATTGATTAGTTCTCTTTCGTCAATGGCTGATGTTTCTATGAGGTGGAGAAGGGGGAGAGAAAGTAGAGAGAGTAACACACAAGATGGCAGACAAAGAGATAGAGGATAGTGAGGGGCGGAGAGGGGGGAAGAGAGAGAGAGTGGCGAGGGGTGGAGAAGGGGGACAGAGAAAGAGAGAGAGGAGAGAGAGATACGTACAAGACGGCAGAGTTTGAGGAAACCGAACTTCCAATTGATAGTGTTGATGTCTTATGTTCTAGGTGAAATGTGAACAATCCAAAATATTGGATGGTTGATAAGGTTGCATCCTAGTTATTCAAACAAAGATGCAACCATATAGAAACTTTCCCCAAAGCACCTCTAGTCCTACATTGGTGCATAAACACTAATTACATTAATTATCGCTTCCCCTAATACAAGTTTAATTAATAGGAGCCTATCAGTTACTCTCTTATATTAATTATTTTATCTTTTAAATCTTTGTCTATCGTTATGCCTATGTCATTTCTATTGTTGTCGTTTTCTGTATATCAAAGTTTATATTCATCTATCTTTTTTTCCTTTTTCTACTTAGTTTCTTGTAGACAAGCTGTGTTTCATCGCATTTGTTTTATCAGATCCACTAACTCCGTACTCTTACCTATAACTGTTCCTACATTCCATATGGCTAGGCGAGTTCTATTCTCCTGGACTAGCTTTTTTACTCATGCTCGTCCAAAATGTCACCAGAACCATTACATTGTATTGCGGCGCCCCACTTCTATGGAACGCCCGAGCTAACCCTTGCTCATTTTTCACAGTATCTGGGTTCCGGTACAACGGATCACTTATGGGGACTGTCTTAGCATAAGCAGAGAATGTAAAATTTTATTTCATAGAAAGTTTTGGCAAAGTATTATATTAATTTCCTACGTACCACAGTCCACCTTCTTTACCCAGGCTTGGGACGGATTAAGGGAATAAGATTCTCACTCTTCTCAAGACCACAATTTTCACAAGAGTAACTAAGTTGTTATCAACATAATAGACTCATAGAACGGTACATTTTTCAACAAAGATAAAGGAAAATTATGCATTCATTCTCTCATACAGTGAGCCACCCCTATTACACTTCTTTTGGTAGTAAAGGAAATGTGGGATTCTTTCTCTTCTTCTTTTCTTTGTACTATTTTTTATGATGGTAATCAAGATAAACATGATGAAAAGGAGATGATCAGAATTTCGCTAAGAGTCCATAAACAAGATGAGAAAAGCACACAAAGACCTTTTCAATCCTTTTCAAAATTGAGCTTTTAATAGCAAAGAATTTATAAGGAAGAAAATATCAATCTATGGTGAAATTTGAGTTTTGATGTTGCAACATAACAGATACAACAAGGGAGCCCAGGAAGAAGGAAACACATTTCGAATTACGCTACAAAGAGCAACAAATAGACCTTATATTTTACAACATTCTGATTACATCATGAAAAGTTAAGAAATTTACAAAAAAAAAAGGGAAAGAAATGCTAACTGATTCTCTACAGGAAATGCCCTAAAATATTTACCCGAAAAAAGAGGAAATGCCCAAAAATATTTATTCAATTACTGAAAATCAATCAACAAAAATTATAACTTCCAGTAATATCCACAAAAAAAAAGTACTAATAGGGTTGGGATCGTAGTGGCAGTGACATGGAAACCACTGCTAAAAGTCATGTCCTCTATTTTCACTCACCTTCATAAAAAACAAAAGTAATCGACCAACCAAAACAGAAGATCACAACAACAAACAAGAAAAACCGACCCATGTAAACTACTGTTTGCTTCGTGCTTGATTCATTGTAAACTACTCTTAGCTTAATCACATCATAAATCAGGCTAATCGTATTAATATTTGTCATCTCTTACTCCTACCTTATCTCAAACCTGAGTTTCATACCATTCTAGTAAACCTTCCTATTCTCTTATCTTTGGTGGAAAGAACTATAACTTTTGGTCTTTTTATATGTAACAATTTGTCATGGAAACAAAGTACGGGGCTATTTAGTAGAATATAGAATGAGGCACAACCTCACAGATTAATCAAATGATAAAGCCTTGAGTGATCAGTTAAAGAAGATTTAGTCAAACCAGTTCTAAATTTTTTTTTATTATTTTTTCTCACTTTGGGGTGCTCTCGAACCTAGAACCACTTGATTTAATAAGCGGTCTGAGGTCCAAGAGCTCACACCGCTATACTATGGCAATAGCGCAATAGCGCACAGAACTACCGATCCGAGATCCTAAACCTCGAACTGCTTAAAAGTTGCCAGTCCAATATTTGGGATATTGAATCAGCCAAACCCTCACGAATCATTTTTAAAGAAAAATAAATAAAAAATTAAACCGGTCCGATGTTGGTAACATCGGACTGAAGGGAAATTTGGGAAAAATAAAAAGCTAGAGTGTCAACTGACCTTCTGCGTAATATTTAAGAAAAATAGAGTTTTTTTGTAATCCTCTATTTTGTTTTTGTGTCTTTATGTAAAGAACTCAAAGATTTACTCTCCAACAAATATTTTGTTACACGTGCTTGAAAAAAGAGCATGGTGGCACAAATAGCGGACCTCTGTTCAAGACTACTTCATTGCTCTCTAAAGCATATTGAATGAGGAGGGCTCTATCTAACAAGGTTTTTAGATAGAACCAACTTCCTTATTGTGCTACAGGCAGAGTTTTCAACCATATATACTTCCAGTGCATCAGTGGATGATGGCCTCTCAAATCTCCTCGCTAGGAGATATATTTAAGTTCCCTTAGGTTTGCAAATCGTACTCCTCTAATGTCACCATTAGAGCGTTAGTATAATGGCCCTAACAAGGGCTAGAACTAAGAACAAATGCAATGGAATGTGTAAAAAAGGAGAGATACATTATCGATAGGAATTGTCTATCAAAGTGACCATTTATCTTTTGTACATAGAAGTCACAATCATTCTCACTCATCAGATATCAAATTGGATGGCCTGGGGCAAATTGCGAAGTCCGAGAATTTTTTTTTGAAACGTTATGTTTATTCAATGAGACTCTTACAACTACCTGTTTTTAAAATTTAAAGGACAAGAATGATTGTAACCTCCATATATAAAAAATAAATGGTCTCTTTGTAGACAATCCCTTATTAATATTGTTGCAAGAAGTGCAATTTGTAAGACAATGGAATTATTAATATACTAATATGCCCTGAGGCACATGGGAAGGCTTTGACTATAGAAGTTGTAGCCACCTCTATTCTTAGTCTAACCTACAATGTAGTTTTAATTGACGATTAAATGAGCTTTATTTAAAATTTAGGTTGTAGATGTATTTTTATATAGTACACTAAATAAAAATAATAACAAATATTTTTAATTAAGAATGTTGACTATAATACCTTTAAATTGTTTTAGGGGCATTTTTTGGTCAATTATTTTCTTAAAATAATCTGTATTTTTTTTATTTGTGTATCCTATGAAAATATGCGTATATACTAAAGTTTAATAAATATTATTATAAAAAATAAAACCTTTTTATGGCCGCTAGATGTGGCATACTCTAAACCATTTCAAAGGGCGCCTATGCACGCTTCCACCTCCACATGAACTGGACAGGACGTGGATGGGAAACTTTCCTTAAATAACTTAAGATTGGTCAAGTGGCATTCAAAACTGCTATTTAAGAAAGACAAGTTAGTACTTTTTATTTTTTGGGAGTCTACATGATGAGATCATTTATTTTTGATAAAGTCACAATTACTTATAACAAATCAATGTGAAATCTAATAGGTTATGTGTGTCACAAGGTTCAAAAAAATTTGTTTTGAACTTTGACCTTAGTCGATGAAATAAATGAAGTCACCCAATTTCGCATCCAACAGCTAAGATTAATTATGATCATCTTATACCAAAAGTAAATGATCTTATTATATATCATTTTTTATTTTTTTTGGGCTCGTCTTTCGTATTGCCCTAATTGGGATGCTTTTGGGAACTTTAAATAGTTATCTTTTGTGTTTTGTTGGGGTGTTTTGTTGGGGGCACATGCTTTTTACCAAGTTCCAATATTTTAGCCATCCCAAGATGTTACAAAAGTCAAATGTTTATCTTTTAATTTTTCTTACTAATATTTCTGCATTTCTTTTTCATTCACCTAAATTATTTTCTTTGGGATGCCGACGGTATCCTTTATAATATTTTTTTGAAAATTATCTCTAATGTCTCTTTAATATTAAAAAAATTTGTGCTTCCTAATTTTTTTTGTTTATTACCTGCATTATCTACGTTTTGCTTTTTCCCTACCAATTTGGTCCGTGAAGCTCCTTTATTATGCCGAGAGAACAACATTTGGGTGCACCATTACAAACGGTGCTCCCTGATGAACCTTTTATGCTTCTAATAATTTTACGTCATACATGCACACAATGTTTGTCACTTCCCAACTGTAATTTGGGTGATGGGGCATTTTTTTTCTCTTTTTTTATTTTTGTTAAAGGTAGTTCAGCGGTAGGAATACAGAAGGTCCTGTGGACCTAACTATCCGTAAAGGTCCCAATTTCCAAAATAATACTCTTTGGGCAAAATAAAGGAGCTTCACTGATCTAATAGATCAGTAAGGAGGGTATCTTAGGCATAAATTATATATATATATATATATAGTCAGGAAGTTTGAAATTTTTGATAATTAGATGGATATTGGCTGCAACTTCCTTCCATTTTCCAATAAGTTATGAATATGGTGTCGTAAATTCGCCTTTTAGACGTTCATAATTTTTTTTATTTGTAATTGCGGAGAATTCAGGATTTGATCGACGTCTAAACCTGACACACACATACAAACACAGAGAGGGATGATTTGAATATAATATAGAAATATTTGGAAACAGATAACATGGATAAAGTGGGGTTTCTTTGGGAAATGGATGGGGCGAAAGAGAGGCTAAAATTGGTGAGGGCAGAGTTGTTAGAGGAAGGAAGTTTCGATAAAGGCATCGATGGAGTGGATGGGGTGTTCCACACTGCGTCTCCTGTTCTAGTCCCTTATGACCAAAATATTGAGGCAAGTCCACCTCATCTCTTCCTTCTAAACATCATTATTTTTTCATGGATAACTATGAATTGGATCATAACAATGTCTAGGGGAGTTCATATTCATATTTAGCTTTGGTAAACGAGTATTATTAATAAGACTTATAAATATTTTATTGACTCATTATCATCTCTGGCCATTCCAATCACTAGGAGTGTCAATTTTTTACTCTTAGAACAATTTTCTTGAGCTTCAAGCACGATCATTATTAGCACATTCCCAACCAACCAATTCTATATTTAACAGCCATAAATAATTTCTTGCACCAAAGGCAAATACGCCAAATTCATATTTTGAAAAGAAAATAGACGAATTTTAAATCAAAATTCAGGTTATTTTGTACTTGTGGTTTGGTGACCATCCTAAAGGATAACCTACCCACTAGACCCAAACAAGTGGACTAGCCCTATGAGCCATGAATTGGATTGTTAAGGATGTTAATGAAGAGATCGACCTTACTAAATCACTTATTATGTAATACAAGGGGAATGTCCATACAAAGAAATTCATTAGGGATGCTGATATAAGGAAAGGTCCCATATGTAGGAACTTTGGGATGGAAGAGGATAGGATTTAAGTGGTAATTACCAAAATGCCCTTGCATCTAAAAAATCGATAAGATCTAATGGTTGTAGACCTGTCTTGGACAAAATAAGCTGCAACTAAATTTCAAAAAAAAGGAGAGACAAAATAGAAACATTGGGGTGGGATTTCAACGAAATTGGTTTCATTCAAAATAGAAACATTGGGGTGGGATTTCAACGAAATCGGTTTCATTCAAAATAGAAACATAGGGGTTGGATTTCAACGAAATCGGTTTCATTCAAAATAAAAACATAGGGGTTGGATTTCAACGCAATCGGTTTCATTCACAACCAGTTGGTTCAGTCATAATGAGTAAGTCTAAACCAATTCATGTAAACAATTATTAAAGTAAAAATGTTTTTGAGCACTCGGCAAAGTCTCGACTCAAGGAGTTCTAGTTGTCTTGGCGGAGGGACAGTTGGTTTGGTAAGAGCTGCTTTTGTTGTCATGACCTAATTTGATGACGGAGGGAAGAGCTTATTTTGGTGTCATGACCTAATTCAATGATGGACGATATGGTGATCAACGGGCCAGGTTTTGCTAGCATTTCCTCTTGCAATTAAGCGGGCATTAATAATGCAATTAACCAGTTTTTCTATTAGGAGTGGAAAGACCTCATGATGTGTTTTTTAGTTTTTATTGTAATTTTTTTGCGGAAGCAACACCATTGAAAAATGAAACCTTATTCGTTACTAATGTTGCTTACAATCATTGCATAAAAAAGAATTATAATAGGCTCCCTCGTAAAGATTGTACAGTTAAGCGGTCTTTGATTTAATAAATGAATAATCAGAGATGAACAATGGGGATTTGGTACTTTGTGTTTACCAATTGAAGCCGATATTTCTTAAAGGAAAGCCCAACGCAATGCCTTAGGTGAAAATGAACAATGGGGATTTTGTACAGCCACAGATTTATTATGTCGGTGGCGGTATTGCAACAGACATATAGGTTTATGGCAGTCAATTTGTATTTCATATTTTATTTTTTTTTGAGAAATAAGTATATAATATATTTCCAAAGGAAGAGAGTAAGTTTGAAGGTGATTGAGAATGCAGGAAAGCATGATAAATCCAAGCATAAAGGGCACCATCAATGTACTAAAATCTTGCTCAAAAGCAACCTCTCTTGGGCGTGTTGTCCTCACCTCTTCATGCTCTTCTGTACGGTACCGCGATGATGTGCACCAAATTTCACCTCTAAACGAGTCACATTGGAGTGACCCCCAATATTGCAAAAACCACAATGTAAGTTCCTCACTCAAGAGAGTATCTACTCTTCATCCTTTATTTTATTTTTATATTTAATTTTTATTTTTGAGTTTTTTTTTTTTAATATCTATCTAAAATAGTAAACACTAGTAATCTCGTGTGACTAGGTAACTTCTTCCTATATCAAAATTTGTTTTGGACCCATGCATTACATGTGTCCCCTTTAGTGCCTGGCCATTGGTGTGATTGTGAAGCCCTCTATTCGTGCACAAATAATTAAAAAGTTTGTTAAAGGCACTAACCATGATTGATACTTTCATTAAAAATTATAGAATGTTTTGATGGTCCTAAAAGACCGCATTGTCTGTTTAGTCTTGCATATCAAACATGGGGCATCATACGACTTCATAACCCTCAAATAGTATTTAATCAACACTAAAATCAATTAAAAAATTGACTTGAAGCTCAAAAAATCGCCCCAAATAAAATAGAATGCAATTTCTATTGGGCCTAGGCTTTATGAAAAAAGGTAAAGCCTCACCGCAAAACCTCGTTTGGAAAATAATTTGGGTATGAAAAATCTCTATGATGGTTCTAAAATCAATGTCCACCACTGATTATGAAATTTGTAGCTAAAGAAATAGTACCGATCTTGCAGATCTGTGACCATATGAAAATGGACGGTCAAGAATATGTGTGACAATATAACTATTTGTAGGGCTTGAAAATTTTTTTTTTTTTTCGACAACCATAGTGTTCAAGGTTGAGATGATTGATTTGAAATTTCTCCTATGCTAGAACTGCAATTTTCGGTGAGTTTTAAAATGATACTTTACTTTTTTTTCTACAAGGACTGGGCTTTATTTTAACCCTTTTTCAATAAAATATTGCTTGAAATTTACTTTAGACAATCCATTTCATGGAAATTAGATTTAAGGTTTTAAGAGCTGAATGTTAGATGCTCCAGTTGGAACCAATTGTACATTTAGGTCTAGCAAGAGCACCATACGCAGACATTTGAATGATTATAAAGGACAGTGGACAAGTTAAAATTGGTATTGTATATTTAGGCCCAGTAGCATGGATTTAAAATTGGTATTGTATACAATGAGACAATTTATTTTTTTACAAGGAGGTCATAATTACTCTTAGCCATTAGATGTCAGACTGGATGGCTTGAAATGTGTTACAAAACAGACGGGCAAGAGCAATTGGGACCAAAGTAAATGATCTCTTTATATACTTTTCCGTAAAAATTTGTCATTTGGTAAGCCTCATCATATTGGTGAATGTTTCTCAAATAGATTCACACTCCCAAAAGGCACTTAATTTGTGTAACACACAATTCCAGCTATTCACTACAAAGTACAAATGATAATGTTTGATATTAAAGGAGTAGATCAAAACCTGGCTCTCATATGAAAAAAGCTTCCTCATAATTTTTTTAGATTTAAAAAAAAAAAAGTTTAAGGGAGTAGCATCTAAGTAAAGGGAAATACATGAGATTTAATAACTAAGGAGGCCATAACAAGTGGAGATTTTTATCATTGTTTACTCTAAGGACTTGTTTCTTTTGTGTTTCCTGGTGACGTAGCTATGGTATGCTTATGCCAAAACCCTAGCTGAGCAAGAGGCATGGAAGGCAGCAAAAGAATGGAAGATTGACCTAGTGGTTGTGAACCCATCATTTGTGGTGGGTCCCTTGCTCGGACCACAGCCCACTAGTACCCTTCTTATGGTGCTGGGGATTCTCACAGGTAAGAATTGTTTGTGAAGAAGCACAATAATAATAATGCATAGAGTGTTTTTTTTTTTTTTTCAAGCATTACGAGTTATCCAATTATCACAACCATGGAACTTCTACTTCATGAAAGGCTTAACGTCAATTTGACTTAAATCTGTAGGCTGGGCATGCTTGTTTACCCATGCGGTTTGTTGCTTTTACCCAGAGTTCGGTCAACTCGGACTTGCGCAAGTAACTCGAGCTCGCCACCCAAAATGTATCTCTGGTTTAGGCGACCAACTAGAGGATCATAAAAAATAAATATAAATAATATATATATATATAATTCAAAAAATAATAAATATACTTGTAATTTGTTTTTTTATGTTTTCTATCATGTTGGAAAATATTGGAAAGTATTTTGGCTATGAATATTTATTTTTATATTTTTTTTTCTTTTTAGATTATTTCTAAAATACCCTTAATCACAAATTGACTTTTTTCAAAATCTGTTTTTATCTTCTTCTTTTTTTATGTGTTTCTTTAATTTTACATTAAACATATATTTCCTATTAATATACCAACATGGTTGAATTACTCGGACTTGGATCAAGTACTCAACTCGGGCATGGACCACAGTCATTCAATCGAACACTGCTCTTACCTTTGTACCCTTTTAAGTAATAGACATAAAAATTGTCAAATCAACTAAAACTTGGCCAGCTTTCAATTGGGCAGCCCAATTCTCTTTATCCTTTGAGTCCTTTTAATTTATTTGCTAAATTAATTGAAAATAAAACTATAATAATAAAACATAGCTCAATTTGAGTCAATAATCGCTTGAGATGTGGTGAACAGGAATGGAGTTGGAGCATCGGCGGTCAGGAGGGCAGATGCCTCAACATAACATCCCACCCTCCTCCGCTCCGACCAATAACATATCAAATAAATAAACAAATAAAGTAGCTATGCTTATAGAAAACCATTTGTGAAAAGGAAACAAAAGAAACTAAACCATGAGAAGATGAATTGTTTTATATGCTAGTCGATAAAATTGTACCATTCGGGTCCCGGGGTTGGTCGGATCAATTGCTACTTTCACTATGAGGTTTTTTTTTTTTCTTTTTTTTTTACCTTTCTTTTTACCATAATATATATGTATTATTGGAAACAAGATCATAATCACCCGCTATTAGATTTTAAGCCATCTTATTTGTTATTTAATAGCTAAAGATAACTACAATTTTTTATTGTATACGATCCTTATTACACCCAAACGTATAGGGTTTAAAGTATAGTATTTTATCTCCAACAGTTTATGGGTACGGGTCAGGTCCAACTGGACCCAAACCAGGACATGAATAGTATTCAAGACTAAGTTTTTGACCCGGACCCAACCTGTCGGGTCCAAATGTGTCAGGCATACCTGACGGGTCCCTGGTCCGGTCCCGGTCCTTTGCCACCCCTACTTTTGCACAGTGTAAGAAACCACTACTCGAGGCCGGAACTCGCACCGAGCCGAAGTAGTCGAGTAACTTGAGACAAGTCGGGCAGGCAGGTTAAAAAATATTTTAATAAAAATTCCTAAAAAAATTTGTTTAAAGTAAAAAAATAATAATAATAAACACATCTAAATAAGGTCAAAAAAGTACTAAAAAAATGGGATTGTCCATAAAAAGACCATTTATCATTTGTATAAGAAGATCTCAATCATTCTTGTCCCTTAAATTTCTAAATGGGTGGTTGTAAGAGTGTCATTGAATAGACACAAAGTTCTAAAAAAATTATCGAACTTTGAGACTCATCCTAAAGCATCCAATTTTACTTCTAATGAGTAGGAATAGTTGGGACCTCCTTGTAATAAAGATAAATGGTATCTTTATAAACTTTCCCAAAAAATTGATTTTTGAAAAACATGTTTGTAACTAGGGGTACTTTAAAAATAATTCAAAAACAAAAAAAAAAAGTAGTCATGGTCATAACAATTTCCAATCTATTCTAAAATGATAGAAAATGCAAAAAAAAATATACAAATAAATTTCTTATTTTTTAATATCCCAGAGCTTAACCACCAAACTCAGGATACTCGGACTCACCAGGGTGTTGAGCCCAAATTACTTAAGTGAGTCCAAGTTGGCTCGCCCGAGTAGTGGAACGTGGCCTTTGAGAACATTTCAAATTATCACGGTTTTGTTTGGAAATTGAAACAAATATATCGAATTATTTTAAACAAGTGTTCCTTATTTATGGAGGATTTGTGTATGTTTATTTGTTGTAGGAAACAAAAGAGACTACATTTGATCCAATAAAGAACAGGACCGTTCACAATACATGAATCCTATAAGAGAAGATTTTATACTCCCGTGGTCTATTTACTCCCTCGGTAAAATCCAATACAGGAGTAATTTTAGGCTTTAAATGTTAAGGATGTAATATTTTCAACATATTTCATAATCTCAATATTGAACAGCGACCTTCCAGTTTTTGAAGGGTATCACTTAAGTGTAAAAAAAACTAAAAAAGTTTTTCTTTTGAGGATAATCATCAAGTGAGTCTTATATGGTTTTCAAATTTTCAAAATGAAAAAGAATTCCTCCGTAGATCTTCTGACTAAAGGAGTACGTACACATGATGCTCCTGCAGGAGCATAGTATACATGCCCTTATTTTGATACAAACTGCATTTTCCCTTACAGGTATAAATGGAGGCGTATACCCAAACACTAGAATTGGTTTCAGTCACATAGATGACGTGGTGACGACCCACATGTTAGCAATGGAGAAAGGGGAGGCCTCAGGTAGGCTAATTTGCTCGGGCCCTGTGGCGCACTGGTCAGAGATCGTAGCAATGCTCAAGCCCAAATATCCCTCGCTTAACATTGCCAATAAGTAAGATTTTCTTAAAGACCCTCTCTCTCTCTCATTGTATTGCTTAATGGTAATCAGCATTAGTGTGATGATTTTATTTATGATTTTACTATTATTCATGTAGCCAACTCTAAATAATTGTGATAAAGCTTGCATGATGATGATGATGATGTCATGTTATGATAATAAAAGAGATCAATACGATATACTATAGTGCCGGTTTGTATTCTACATGGATTAAAACATGTGGCTCAAGAGTCTAATTTGAGCAAAGAATTGTTGGGGGGCTTGATTATTATGCTTGAAATCTCTTCAACTTCAAGCATAGTTATCAACACAGAACCGGCAGCATGGGATGGTTTGTAGCAGTGTGCTAAAACTCACCTAGGCCAGGGACCTTACCCCCTGGCCAAGGTGAGTTACTCGGTTGTGTCAAGCATAGGGCCAAAATGCCCTAAAAACATATAAAAGTTTAAAAAACATTGAAAAAATAAATGTATTAGAAGTAAATTCAAACCTAAATGCCTTAAGGAAGTTAAAACGAGATCCAAAAAGTAGAAAAAATATGTTTGCAATATTTTTAAAAGTCCAAAAAAGTAATAAGTATAAAAATGTGATCATGGAAAAATAAACAATTCCCAATCTTTGCCAAATATATCTAAATCATGTAAGAAAAATTGTATAACAACTTTAATTTTACAACTTTCTTCTTCTTCTCCTTTTTCTATTTTGAATTTCCTTTGAATACCCCGATTTGTCACATAACTTGGGGATAATCCACCTCCACCCTAGGGTGAAGCCAATTAACTCGGCCGGGTCCAAGTGGACCCGGCCGAGTCCCGGTACACTGCTTTCTAGAGCGGTTTATATCCAAGTAAAATATAAGTAAGAAATTATGTATAGATTCCCACACATAAAAAACTATTTTTATCACTATTATTAGCAATGAATGGAAACTACAATTTTATTCACCTCAATGCTTATTATCAGTTTTTTTTTTAAATTAGTTACTATGAAAATTCATTCACCCATGAACGATTACAAGGAGGTTCAAGACGAAAAGGATGTAACCACCAATGAATGTTGGTGCACACCACCCTTTGCTAAAGCATTAGCTTCCATATTAACCTCCCTAAAACAATGAGATAACTCAAAAGAACCACTAATTAAAATAAAAAAGATTTCATCGAAAATGCTGCATAATCTCTAAGGTGGCTTCATTTCTCCTTTCGCCCAAACAATGACATTGCTTGAATCACTTTCAATCGTCTTTTGGCCCTCGAGATTCTTTATTATCTTTAATCCCTCCAAAAGAGCTCTTGCCTCAGCTTCATTCACTATTGTATGTCCATATGGTCCCTAGTAGGTGAATTTGTAATTACCCATATGATCTCTAATGGTACCACCATAACCTGTTGGGCCTGGGTTTCCAATCAAGCTTCCATCAAAGTTGAGTTCTCAGCAATTTTTACGAGAAGGCATCCAAAAAGCATTTCAAGTTTGTCTGTCATTATGAAGCTTAGCAAATTTAGATGGATTCTCAAAAATCTGTTATTTTGGGATAAACTTAAAATCCTTATTTGTTGAAAACCATTAAGTTGTTGTTGCTAAGGTGTTGAACTTCAGAACTTCAATCTCACTTTGTATCCCTTCAAATGTTCTTTTATTTTTGTCTCTCCAAATATTCCAAATAGTGCTCACCCATAAAGCCCTCTATAACACAGTGCCAATTTCGACAAATCATGGTTCATCCATTGAGAGAGGATGAACTCTGGGCTTTGTGGGATCAAGATATTTAGATTCAACGACTTTCTACACCAATCCCACATGCTTAGAGTGAAAGGACAATGTAAAAGAATATGGTCCACACTTTCGTTGTCCCTCAAATATAGCCTACAAACATTGACAATTATGAAGCCTCTCTTTCGAAGGTTATCCACAATAACCAGTTTTTTTTGAAGAGCTGCCCACAAAAATAACTGAACCTTTAGCAGCACCTGTAAATTCCATATTTTTGCTAAACTATGATCAATCTCTTTGTGATTTTCCTCATGTAGGAGTTGATAGACAGACTTAACTAAAATCCTATGAAGCTGTGAGTTCCCACACCAATCGATCACTTTTATTGGGAACAACATAGAAAAAATTATGCAACATATTTATAAGCAATTGGAAGTCATGAAAGAATGAATTTGAGAAAGAATGAATTTGAGACCCTCATGTACCTACAAACAATATTCCAAGAAGAGTTAGTAAAATGAGCTCCTCTGAGATCTTTTACAGAGGCTAATGGATTGTCGACTTTGGAGAAGACCTCAGAGAAAGAATCTCGAAGAGCAAGGTCTCCCAGCCACTTATCAAACCAGAACAAGGTTTGATCTCCTTTTTCAACCACTTTGCGACAATAACTAAGATATAATGATCGACACGCATCAATTCCTCTCCAAATACTTGAAAAACTAACTTAGATCTTGGACTTTTAATGAGGCTAATCAATACATCTACTCCATTTTTTTTTTAACACCTCTCCCCATAAGCTATCCTATTGATTTTGGAAGCGCCACCACTACTTACTCAATAGGCTAGTGTTCATCAATTTGAGTTTTTAACTCCTAGACCCTCATCTCTCTTGGAAGTGGCATACCTTTTTCCAATTCACGAGTTTCAATTTTTTTCCCATTCCTACATTACCCCATAAAAAAAGATCTCATAATGTTCCAAAGCCTTCACTATCTGCTTTGGCATTCTAAAAATGGATATAAAATGGATAGGTAAGTTGGACAAAGTGGAGTCGATAAAAGTAGATCTCCCTCCAAACGACAATACTTTAGACTTCTATAGATCTCGTTTATTAGTAAATATTTCAATAATAGGATCCCAAATAGTTGCTAATTGATTTCCTCCAAATAAATGAATATGCAAATATTTGCATGGAAACTTGCCAACCCCACATCCAAGAATTTCTACCAAAGATGCAACCACATTCTCCGAAACTTTAAAACCCAATCAAATTTGTCTTTTTTAAATTCACTTTGAGACTCATTGCTATTTCAATACACTTTAAGAACACCCATAAATTCCTTACTTCTTGCTCCTCTGGGCTACAAAAAATAATAGTATCATCTGCATACTGTAAATGAGAGATTGTTAGTCTATCAACATTAAACCCATAAATAAGGCCCTCTACTCACAACAGAATTCAACATAGTACTAAAACTTTTAGCCACAACAATATATAAGTATGGAGACAAAAGATCTTCTTGCCGAACGCCTTTTGATGCTTTAAAATAACCACAAGATTTTTCCTTGAAAAGGATGAATAAATGATTGACTTCAGACGTCACTGGATCCACACTCTCCAACGTGATCTAAAACCCATCTTCCCTAAGATTTCATGGAGAACATACCAATCCACTTTGTCATCTGCTTTTTCAAAATCTATTTTGCATAGAAGACCTGGTTTTTGCTCTTTCATCCTTGAGTGTATGCATTCTTGTGTCATTAAGATATTGCCCATAATATGTTTGTCTTTAAGGAAAGCAAATGTTTTCCTTTTGATATCTGCGCATCGCTGAGTACTTTCCACAATCGTTGGTCCGCTGTGTGATCGCTAATCAACAAAAACTTAGAGATTGCATACATAACTGCTCAACCAATCTCCCGATCTCTATCCACTTCAACTTCCCGCTTCACTCGCTCAAGTTTTGTATATTAATAAATGGAGCACATCAGTTGTATTGAGCACCAATTCCTCTTCTCCAATGAAAAGCATTATTGATTCAACATATATAGACGTGGGTCTCTCTCATCAGATATCTCCACTGATGACCTTTCACAACCAAATGCAATATTTCTCTCAATCTATTTGCCAAAATCTTTGCAACAGTTTTGTAGACACTCCCTAGTAGGCTAATAAACCTTATGTTCTTCACACTCTCTATAACATATTTTTTGGAAATTAAAGCAATAAAAGTATAATATATTGTTGTCCAGATTTACCTTTATGATAAAATTCATCAATGAATAAAAAAATATCCTCCTTTAGAAGCTCCTAAAAGGTTTGAAAAAAGGCTAAAAGAAAAATGTCTGGCCCTGAATCTTTATCCCTACCCAAGGAGAAGACACCACCTTTTATCTCATCCATTTCGAAAGGTCTTTCCAGCAATAAAGCCCTTTCTGAAGGCAAGCAATCTATCAAAGATGATATTCTCAATACTAAAATAATTTCTTTTTTCCCTTGTAAAAGCTTCCTTGAAATGGTTAATTAAACTCATTTCAATACTATCTGGTTCAGTAAGTTCAACATCTCCCATTTTAATATCACTAATGGAGTTATCCTTTTTTCTAGTATTAGCAATAACATGAAAGAATTTAGTGTTTTTATCTCATTCCTTTAGCCATTTCACTCTAGATCTTTGCCTCCAATATACTTCTTCCAATTTTAGAAGGCCATGCAAAGAAGCAAGTGAGTATTTTCTTTCTCTCATTTTTTTGTTGCAGGTTGCCCCAAGATTCTTTTTACCATTTACATATTTCATTCTTCTGCATTTTCAATTTAGTAGTAAATTGATGACCCACCCAACTTTCTATCTGGGTTTTTTGCCAAAACTCTTCCACCAACTTAATAAAGCTCTTGTCTGATAACCAATTTAGCTCCATTCTAAAAGGTGATGGCCCAAAACTTCATACCCACTGAATTCAACTGGAGAGGGATATGATCAGAGGCAATTTTCACTAAGGCTTTAACATAAAGATTTGGAAACTTATTAAGAAAAGAGTTGGTTACCAAGAATCTATCCAAGCAGGTAAGGATGGGTCTAAAAGAGCATGGTTTGACCAGATGTATGCAGCCCCAATCGAATGAATATCCAAAAGTTCATTATTCTGAACGAAAGAATTAGACGTGCGCATACAATGAGAGATCCTAAGATTAACTAAGGATTTACTAGGCCATCAAATTACATTGAAATTACCTCCAATACATCATGTAAAAAACATCCTCTATATTGACTTAAAAAAAAGAAGAAGCATACTTTGTAAGATTGAACATAAACAATCCAATTTTTGGATGGTTAAATTTAATTGTTTAAGAACTCAAAATCTAAATGCTTTTATGATAATGATCATCAAGTGATTCTCAAGTGGATCTAAAACTTTCATAACTTGTAGGTAGCTTTTTTACCCGAGGAAGCAATTGTACCATATGCCCCAAATATGTGCTTTAATTTTATTAAGCTTATTTTAAACATGTCATTGTTATAATATTTTTCATCACAAATCTATCCCCTTATCAATGTTATTAGATATACACAAAAGTAAAAAATTGTATATGATGTAGAAAGAAAAAAAAAAAAATTATTATTATTTTTTTGAGTTTATCTTTTAACTTTAAGAGGTGCGCATGAATTTGTGTATGAGTTGATATTTATGGATTTGCATTAATTAGTTATTGATTGATTTGGGTTAGTTAGTTTGAAATATATATAGATAAGGTTAAATTAAGGGAGCTAGTTTAGGAATATAAATAAAATAAGGTTAAGTATAAAGAGAGTTTATCCATATCAACAATAATCAAAGTTGGAGGGAATTTTGGGCAAAACGTGGGATAGAAACGATCTTAATTTTTGGAACGTGATTTTAAGAGAGAGAAAATAGGGAAAAAAAATAAAATAGGAAAAGTGTAGAGAGATTTAGTCTTGTAAAGAGATTATTTTGGGTTGGATTCCCTTGCAGACCTTAAGAGAGGGTATATTCTCTCAACCTTGCGGTGAATTCCCTTACAAACTTTGAGATAGGGTATATTCTTTCAACCTTTTATTTTTATTTTTTTTTTGTTTTATTTTCTCAATTTACATAAATTGGTATCAGAGCAAGTTAGGTCCAAAGTTTACAATGCCACCAAAAGCAAATCAAGTTACTCCTGCTAATCCTACTCCTATGGATGATCGTTGGAGGCAATCTATAAAAATTTTGAGTAAAGCCCTGGAGGATTTTCGAACTGAAGTACGTGAGATGCTTCAGGAGATGAATCAGAAGTTGCAACGGTTAGAGAATAACCTTCCCCGTGAAGAAGGTACTAGCAACCTTGGTAATCTTGCATCAGGAATTCTACGACAAATCCAAGGTGTTGATTTCGAGCGTAACGAATATTACTGGCAAAAGATGAAAAAGAAATTGAAAGAAAATTTTCTTTCTGCTGATCATGAACAAATGTTTTTTCAAAAACTCCAAAATCTTTGACAGAATGAAAAAAAGTAGAAGATTATACGGGGGAGTTTTATCGATTAGTAGCTCGAAATAACCTCCAAGAGACGGAAGGACAAAAGATTGCTCGATATGTAAGAAAAAAAAGATAATGCAAAGTTTATGTGTTATCGATTCAAGGAATCAGGACATCGTTCGTTTGAATGCCCAAACAAGAACATGGAGGTCCACTTGATTAAGCAAGAGGAAGACATTCTGGAATATCAAATTCAACAAATCGACCTCCATGGTGATGAAGAAGGAGATCTGCTTTGAATCAAGCTTGAGGTCGAGCTGCTTCCAACCTCGGGAGGATGATGCGGAAGATAAAAAAAAAAAAATTATTATTATTATTTTGAGTTTATCTTTTAACTTTAAGAGGTACGCATGAGTTTGTGTGTGAGTTGATATTTATGGATTTGGGTTAATTAGTTATTGATTTATTTGGGTTAGTTAGTTTGAAATATAAATAGATAAAGTTAAATTAGGGGAGCTAGTTTAGGAATATAAATAAGATAAGGTTAAGTATAGATAGAGTTTAGTCATATCAACAATAATCAAAGTTAGGGAGAATTTTGGGCAAAACGTGGGATAGAAGCGAGCCTAATTTTTGGCACGTGATTTTAAGAGAGAGAAAATAAAGAAGCAGAGATAAAATAGGAAAAGTGTAGAGAGAGTTTTTTTTATTAATGTTTATCTTATTGGGTGTATTCTCTCAATCTTGTGGTGAATTCCCTTGTAGACTTTGAGAGATGGTATATTCTTTCAAGCTTTTATTTTTATTTTTTTTTGGTTTTATTTTCTCAACTTACATTAGTATACCAAGTTAAAAGTTGGGTACACCAAGTCAAATCAGGAATCGTTTGGTTCTTTCGGGAAACACTTGCTTCATAATGACCCCATGTTTCTTTCATAGAATTGGAGGAGTCACTTGGAGAACCTAGACATCCGCTCATTCATTTTATGTTATTAAAAAAAAAATTTGAAAATATTATTATTTAACTTTTTCACTTATTGCTAGGCCAAAAAATCTGTCCCATTTTCCTTTAATCGGCAATCCATAGCCGTTCAACTGATACGACCTCGCGATTAGGATTCTAAAGCATTGGTAATATATGCACAAATATTTTTTTTAATAAGAAGTTTTCCTCTCAATAGGGCATTCCCTATTCTATAAAACGATTAGCCCATGTTTGTGAATGTTTATGTATGAGTCGACTGGTACGTGCACAGCAGATTTCTACATAAATGGATTAGTTTTTTCAATTTAACTTAGTGGGCCAAAATAATTTGAATTTCAGATGTGGTGAGCAAATAGGTGATGACAAGCCCCACAATATGGACACCACCAAGATCCGGAATTTGGGACAGCCCACATTCAAAACAATCGAGCAGATGTTTGATGATTGTCTCAAGAGTTTCCAAGACAAGGGATTTCTTCCTAGGTTTTAAGCTCTTTTTTATGTTTTTTTACTTTCTTTTTTTTTTTTTTTTTTTTACTTTTTTTTTTTAGTTGTAATAATTACCTATCTTAGGCCTTAGATTTATCTATAGTGACATGAACTAACTA